TGAAGTCGTTTGTGAAAACATTAGTGAGGTGAAGTGGTTGGCGGCTTTGTAAATATTTAAGGTTAAGTTAATGTTGTCGTTTGTGTTGTAAAATATACGTTAACGGTTTTGTAAAGTGTCAAATTCACAAGTATTGGGTAAGGTAGAACGCAGTGCCTCAGTACCCAACATAACCATACTAACTTTTGAACTGTTGGTTGCTGTGCTGGGTTTTGAACTGTTGGTTGCTGTGCTGGTTGTGGAGGTGGTTGTTGTGTTGGTTGTTGTGCTGGTTTTGGTGCATGCCTGTGTCTGTGTCCATGTGACGATGTAAATGTTTTAGGTAGTCCTGGTGCAGGTGCTTCTCTTGGAGGGTTTGGTGGTATATAAGTTCCACCAGCTGGCACATATGTTCCATCTGCAGCATAATGTCCTACCTGACTTTTCGTTTTTAAGAAAGCATTTACTAGGTCTGTTTTGGTCTGTTGTAACTCTTTTTCTTGACTTTCCACAACAGTTGCTCTAACGGCGTCATAGGCACTTTGAACTGCCTGTCTCGTTGCTGCATCTGTTATTTTCGTCATATTTTGTGCTACTTCTCTTAACTCTTTGTCGAAACCTTCAGACTTCAGTTTCTTTCCAGATGAGAAGTCGTTCACTAGTTTCACCTTACTATGAAGAGCTTCGAAGGCGTTCTTAAAGTCAGCATTCATTAAAGCTTCATTTGAACTGTCTTCATCCGCTTGTATTTTTGTCCTTATTGACCCTATAAGTTGGGCTGCTTTGGCGTTGGCTTGGGCATCTAACCAGTCATTATTAGCTTTTATATATTCTGCGCTTTTCATTGCCTTTTGCATGGCTGCGTCGTTATTTTTACTTTCTTGTGCTAAGTTTTCATACTGTACGGTTTGGTTTTGCAACTGTAAAAGTTTTTCTGCCTTTACATTTGCTTCAACTTCTTTTTTATACTCATCGCTATCCATATATGTCTTCAGGGCTTTTTGTTTTATCTCTTCATCTTTCAGTACTTTATATTGAGTAGTATGGTTTTTCAAATTTATAACATCTTGTTCCATTTTTGCTACTTCTGCTGCTTTTTCTGACACTTTTTCGCATATTCCTCTGTACTTAGTTCTTTCAGTTGTTCTTCTTTCTTCTTTTTCTCTACGTTTAACTCATTGAGTTTCTTTGTGTGTCTGTCATATTCTAGTTTCTTTTCGTTTTCACCTATTTGTTTCTGTATGTCTATGTTTGACTTTTTGACATCTGCTATTTGATTTTTGAGTGAACTCAAATTCATTTGACTTTGAGGGTTATAAGCTGTTCCGTCTGCAGCTCCACCATAGCCTGCCATTTTCGCTAAAAGTGCCGCTCTTAAACCTCCACTCTGTGCACCAAGAACTCGGTTTAAAAGCATAGGGTTGCTTGACATTTGTTGCAACATAGTGGGGTCATTCATCATTTGTTGTTGCAACTGTTGTTGTGGTGTCAGTTTTACTATTGGATGTTTCAATGCTCTCTTCCTCTTACGTATATTCTTACGTAGCTTACGTGGCATTTTAAGTGAAGTTAAAAAGCGGTTTTTGACAGATGTTTATATGACACTTTTTGTTCAGCACAAAAAACTACTCGGTCAAAGTGTTGTCAGTTTTGTAAAATAACCGTCTTATCTCATTCTATAAGGGGAAAAAGGCTTCTCAAAGTATACTTCCTTGGAACGCCTGTAACTTTTCTGTAGCGACGATAGACCCTTACTTGTCCGGACAAAGTTATACTAAACATCTTCAGGGCTAGAAGGGGTGCAGCCCCTGGAAGCCCCACTACCTTTTTTTTTTTTTTTTTTTGTAATGAAATAAACAAATATTAAAATTATTTTTTGATAACAAGAAAATTCCCAATAGAAAATATTTGAGAGAAAGAAAAAAAGAAAATTGAAAAATATTACTCTCCTTTATATTTCATGAGATTTTAAATTTATTCTCATAAAATTGACAATTTTATACGTTTAGATGAAAATAAGTGATTTTGGTTGAAATAGAAATTATTATTTGCTTACAGCTATCAAATAGATTTTTGCTATTTTGATTAAAATTTGTTAATCAAATTAATAAATTTTTTCTAAATATCTTAAATATCTGGATCACTCACATATACAATGAATTGAACGATAAAAATAATACAAACTCAACTAAGTTTCCTGTCTTTCAACTAAAAAAAATTATGCAAATTAAATTAAATTGTTTATTCAAATATAAAACAAAGATGAAGTAATTACAGTTATCATAAACTTTATGAATAACTCTGTAATTGGTTCAGATTTTCGTAAAAATATTGTTATTAATATCGATAAGAATACGTTTACCTACTATCACAACATATCGATAAACAAGAGTAGAGTGATTTTTATCATCGAAACTTTTTAAAAGCTGTAAGCTGGAAGGAAAAATCTTGTTTTTTCTGAGTTAGTTGTAGAACTATTGATGCACGAGTTATCATTGTGATGTAGAAGGATGTCAATGTACTGACTGAAGGATATGAAGTGAATTGAATTTCATTGCATTTCAATTTGATCAAAATTTGTTGAAATGATATGAATGTGTCAACATCTGTATCACTCTCTTTCACTCCTTCCCTATTCTTTCGAGAACGAAGCTAGCTCAGCTTTCGCTGAGCGAATTGACACTTTTGATGCCCTAAACGTACATGCTCTCAAATTTATCGAAAAAAATTATACCACCTAAACTAGTATATTCTTATTTTAAATATGATATTATCCTTAGAATCCACACTAGAATATATTTAAATCAACTTTTAAAAAAGTTCGAATCCTGCGCGTCTCACTTTTTAAATTTTCCAAAAGGAAAATTATATTCTCCTAAAATGAAAACAATTTTCCGAATTGACATCCTTAGTATATCAAGAATCGTATGTAAATTTGTATTTTGGTACTGAAATAAATTTTTTGAGAGTAAGTTTTGAGAGCTGCATTCATTATCAGCTTTCAGGACGTTGTTTTATTTTAAAGGTTTGAATTTGTAAATAACAATAAGATTGATGAATTGAGCAAGAAATTATATTGTTTTTATCGTAAATTCACAACAAATTTCAAAAGAAAATTATTTTTTTGAATAAAATTTCATGGTATATTATTCTATAATCATAATAATATAGTTTTATCGTTGTATTTCTTGAAAATACTTCATAAATTTATCCAAATTTTTTAATTTTTTTCAAAATTGATAAAAAATTCCTTTGAATATGAAATCAAAATCTAGATTTTGAAAAAAATTTGGAATTACAAAGTTATTCAAATACTGTAATTAACCCAAAAATACACAAAATTTTTGGCTCTGCTTATAATATGTTCAAAAAATTTTGGTATTCTTCTTAAAAAAGGTAATACATATTCAAAATCGGCTTATTTCTAAGAAAATAGTAGGGTTTCTATTATGGCATATCGTTAAAAAGGATCGGGAAATTCATCCACAGATATTTGCTGAGTCAAATCTTGTTTGATAAAAGAATACCTACTAATCTTCAATTGGAAATAGATGAAAAGGAAAAGTTCAACTTGCTTGAAATTATTTTCTCATCAACAAAGGTTAAACACATTTTATAGTTACCATAAGCTCAGTCTGGCAATTGAGACGCAAGGATAAACGTTATGTGAGTCTCTCCCCAATTAATGAGAGACTTCGGAAGAATTTTGCTCTATTTAATTAAGATTTATGTTCCCTTGCCTATAAACAGTCAAAGACAACAAGTAAACTACTTAAATAAGCCACTCACAAAATCGAGTGAGCGATGTATTCAATGAATTTTGAGAGGAAATTAACGCCTGACTCCATCGAACATAGCCCTTCAAATTTGGTCCCCCAAGTGAATGATCGCAATAATCTCCAATATATACATGGCACGATGGGCGCTACTTTTTTGGCGCCAGCGGCGCCGCCCGCGCCTCCGGTGGCTCCCACTGGTGGGGAGGAGACGATAGAAAAAGATATAAATTTTACTAAAAAAATTGAATTTTGGAAATTCTTTTGATTTTTTTGAATGATTTACGAAGAGATTGAACACATTTTGTACTATGAAATATCGTTATTAATAAATTTACTTCTTAAACATCTATTAAAATCGCAATTTTGAATATTTTTATGATTTTTTTGACCCGATCACTTGCGCCCGCGCCTACTGGGAGGGGTGCTTGTAAAGTATTCAAAAATCAATGTAAACATTTCAATTTTTGCTCCGACCTCCCATTGGGAGGGGGGCATATATCTTGTAGCGTTCAAGTTCAAGTGATGAAAGTGCATAAGAAAGCTCCTTAATCATACCGATAGAAACAGCATTAGGGGCGCCAAATGGCGCTCGGTGATGTTTCCCATAAAAGCTTAATTTCAGGTATCCATAATCATAACCTGTCAGACGCAATAATTCATTAGCACACAATCATCGTTTCTCAATCAAGAAACGAAACGCACGATTGATTATGCTGGCCATTAAATTTTCATATCAAATAATTTACTACTTCAAGAAAAATTAAAGACTATCATCAACCAAAGCTTAAAATTCTCAGTGTTTACAACTCTCATACTTCGAATATGCATATTTCCAAAATAGCATGAAAATTTTTTTCATTTGAGCTCATTTTCTTTTGTTCTATTAACTAATACATGCAGTACAAGCTTGTTATACGTATACTTAATAAGTAAGGTCTTAAGGGAAATAATAAAAAACAATTTTGCTATTAATTATATTAAACAATATTTATTTGTAATTTCGTGATAATTATATTTCTTATTACAAAGTAAAGGTATTTGATATAATGTTTGCCTTACAAAAATGTTTCCTTTGTCTTGCCACCATAGGTATTCTATTTTGTCACTTTTTGCGCCCGCCGTGCCATGTATACTCCAATAAGAACTAAACGTCATCCCTAGATAGTAGAAAAAAGTTACTTCAATTAAAAACTTGATTTTTCAATCAAAATCTTGTGAAAACGTGACAATTCTCGGATTATCATGCAAAACGAATCTTTATTACAGCAGGCAGCACAATCTGCCATAAATGACGATATGTATGTGTTCTACTGTAATTACGTTACAAAATTGCATGATAGAGGCGGTAAAGATACGAGAATTTTAGTGATAACTAATATCAGTATTGCTTTTTGCAAAATCAAGAAGAATCCTCAAATGGACAGGGTAATGTATTGGCCCTCAATTACTAATTTTAGTTGTCAAGACACTACGATCATCTTAGAGTTCGGACAAGATGCTTTTCGGTTTGAATCAAACGAAATCGATCGTATTTGTGATACAATCACCTTCATTCTTAAAAATATCCTGACTAAATCCGAGTTTGCAAAGCTGAATATGCCGAGATTATACAATAGCACCTATTACAACAATACTTTAGGACTTGTTTCTCGTTTCAAGTCATGCATAAATAGATCTGACCTCCATTATCCGCAATCGTTATTTGATACAGTATATCATTGCGCCAAATTTAAATTACAAACACTAGAATTACCTTATGATTGCCAAAAAATACCTTCACTCGAGCCAGTATTAACTGCATTAGCCCTAGCACCATTTGTTGAATCGTTAGTTCTTCCACCTTTGCATAAATTCGACACATATAAAGCAACATTAGACTTCATCCAGCGATCATCATATATCGAGCATATACTTTACTCACAGGCTAGCCCTAGATCATTCTCCGAATTTTGCCAAGTTCTAATTAACGCTGCTCCTTTCAATTTAAACTGTATCAGCTTTATCAATGCCGAATTCCGTAAAGACCATCTTCAAAAATTAAGAGATTTACTCATAGCCAAAGATTTTAAGGGCGTTTCCCTACAAAATGCCGTTCATCCTTCTGGAATTGATTATTTTGACAAAGAATTCTTCAAAGACCTACCTATTAAACTCGCGAACTTCGACAGATCCAATTCCATCCACTACAAATCAATAATTCCCTTCTTAAATAAAATAAAAATTTTGTCATTCGGCGGTTGCAAAATAGATATATCCGATGTCCTTACAGAAATATCGAAGAACAACTTTACGAACCTCAAGATGCTTAACTTGAGCGTTAATGTTTGTAATAATGAAATCGACCAAAATATCAAACTTCCTGCTTCTCTTGTTCGTCTCGATCTCAACAGCATCAGGTGGAAAACAGGCACAATCACTTCATTCTTCCGAATTATTACTAGCTACAATTGGGAGAAAGGAATCTTCCTCGGATTCGCCCAGCAGACAGCTGACTCCAATGATTGGGAGAAATTGTTCAAAGAGTTCATGAAACTACCTAAAAATTCAATTACAGACTTAGAATGGAGTTTCAATCCCGTCGATCCAAGATTCTCGGCCTTCCTTAAGAACTGTTGCACGAACCTTCAATCGTTAGTTATCACCGACTCATTTACTAACGAAAAGCCACGAGAAATCATCGCATTTGCCGATGCCCTCAAAACTATGCCAGTTCTGACCAAATTGGTCATTACGGGTAACGATAAGATGTTCCTCGGACCAGAGTACACCCACATTTTCTCAGCTCTCCAGGACAGAAATAACATTCGCTACTTGGAAGTATCAGGAAACAGGATCGGAAACACGGGAGTCAGTCAGTTGGCCGACCTACTCAAGGAATGTCCATCAATTTCGAGTATTGGATTTGATAATTCCAGAATTACTTGTCAAGATCCGATAATTCGATGCCTTGATGCGGTAGAAAACAGGAGTTCCCCTGTATACATCAGCTGGTCAGAGGAAGATCTCCATAACCTTGTCCAAACCAATGAATTGACAATGGATGATGTTTTGAAAATCTCATTACGCATTTTGAATGCAGGAAAAGAGGATCAAACCAACATAGATCGCAAGGACTACTTCAACCAGCCATTCCAATCCTATTATCTCCCAATTCACTCCAAATTCCCTTTATATTATTCCCAAGATACGATAGATCAGTTCCAATCCTCCATTCCTCAGTATGACTCCAACCAAAGCGATGTCTGGATATCATCTGGATTCACTAACCAGCAGAACAACGCTCCGGAATCCTCCACAAACACTCCTGTCACCAATAAAGAGCCTGAAAACAAAGCATCTGATGACGAATCATCGACATTTGACTTGTGGGCTGATTCCGACAGCGCAGGAATCTCTCCACAGAGATTGACAATCGCGTCAAACAAGAGACAAGTTGATCCAAACTCATTAGATCATATATTTGATGATAGCGAAGATGACAAACCAACAAAGTCTCCTCTTGTCGATGCAAACACACACGTTGAATTCAAAGTACAAGGTAAAGTAGTAAAAGGACAGGGAAGAAGTAGATCTCTCTCAACTCCAAAACTTGATTTTTACAAGGAAAGTGACAGTGACAGAAATCCAGAAAAAAGTGACAACAAAAAAGGACTTGCAGCATTTGCAGAGAGTTCATCAGATGAGAATGATGATCAGAACATCAAACTGAAGCAAATGCAGAAGAGTCCATTGAGGAAATCATTGATAACACTTGATAAATGGAAGGAAAGTGATGATTCAAATCAATTGTCATCACCTGAAGAACTGAAAGCACCAAAATCATGTGGATACAACACAAACAATCCTCCTCCATTGTCTCTTCAAATTGTTCCTCCAAAGAAATTCACTGATGATGACTCAGACATCGAAATAAAACAACCGAAATCCCTCCAAGTCCAGAAATCAAAACTTCAACCTGTAACTGAACAAAAACTTTCTGATTTGGATTCAGAAGATTCCGATCTCCCTAAAATGAAACCAGTCAATTTGCCATTGAATAACAAATTGTCTGATTCTGATTCCGACTTGCCAAAGATGAAACCAGTGAATTTACCTTTGAATCAACCAAAAATTGATTCTGATGACGATCTGCCAAAAATGAAACCAGTCAGTTTGCAGTTAAATGACTTTTCTACTCCCAAACAAACAGAGAAACAAGATTTGTCTGATTCCAATGATGATTTACCTAAAATGAAACCAGTCAATTTATCATTAAACAATGACCAACAGAAAGTCCTTAAACTAGATACAGACACAGATTCACTGAAAACTAAACCAGATACAGATTCTTTCGATGATTTACCGAAGATGAAACCACAAACTGTTGTTCTTCAAAACGAAAAACCAACAAGTTCTACTCCACCAATAAAAGAAAACCAGTTTGACTCTTTGTTCGTTGACAGTAAGAACAAATCCAATCCACCGCAATCACTGAAACCATTAGAGTTCACTGCTCCTATCTCTATTCCGAAATACCAAGTAACATTAGTTGATGAAAACGATCTGCAAATCAATGAAAATGCAGTTGATGATTTTCCAAAACCTGACATTTTAACATCACCAATTGATTTAGAACTGAAACACGAGTCATCATCTAGTTCATCACGAATGAGACAGACAACGATACAGAACATTGATGACAGTTCTTCATCGAACTTCGCAAGAAGACCTCCTCCATTTTGTTACCCGAGATTGACGCGATCATCAGAGTTTTTCACTGTTCCTTTGAAGAAGAAGATGCAGAGTAAGAAAGAGAGCAGTGATAACCATTCCCTTGAGAACTACATGGAACAGAAACTTCCTCAGAAGAAGAACAACTTCATTTCGCTCGATGTTTTCTCTGAATCCCACAATTCCGACCAATTTTCAATCAGATCCGATCCATCGTCAAGACTCTTCAAGACAGAAGAACAGAGAAGAACTCCTCCATCCAGATTGTTGTCAAGACACAGATTGAACATCCCTCTTCCTCCAAACCAAAGAAGAGGACAACTAAGTGAAGCATCAGGTAGATTCAACGCTCACAGATCGTACAACAACCAGAAATACTCTTCTGAGCAAATAAAACCCGCTTTACAAGGTTTGTATAATACACAGCAAACAGTGTCAAATATTCGTCAAACTGCTTTGACATCATCATCAACACCGATGTTGACAGAGTCCAGTCACTTGGCATCATCATGCGAGGAAGAAGACAAATTAATAAATGAAGAAGAAGAGGAAGAACAACAGGAATCAGAGTCAGAAGATGGAAGAAACGTGACAATACAACTTGACACGAACAAGAAGACATTTTCAGGTCATAAGATAGATAGCGAGGAGAGTTCGAACATCTTCGAATCAATGTCATCTTCTTTGTTCTTCCCTGAGTTCAGGACAGCGAGAAAAGGAAAATCGAATTTCAGGGATGAAATGTGGGTTTCAGCGGCTATTGCGCAGACATCGAATGCAGAACAAGAAAATGATGACGACAACAAGTCACCGAAGAAGAAGTTCAACCACGCGGCGTCTGCAGGCGGAAAGGCACAAGGTCTGGAAATGATTGATGAAAATGTCGAAAATGAAAATAAAAGTGACAAATCTTCAACAGTTGAATTCGTTGAAGAGGAAGACGACAAGAACTCGGAAATGGAAGAGTCTGAGTTTGAGGAAGAAGATGTTTTCGAATACGAAAACTCTGGAGATGAAAAAGAAAACTTTGTCTTGAGAGAAAACGAAAAAACTGTTGCTGTTCCTGTAATAAATGAAGGGAAAAAGCACAAATCTTCTGCAGAATACTCTGGATCATACTACACTGATTCTGGTTCTTACTACACTGACTCTGACTACGCTTCATACAGCGATTACTCCTCTTCTGAAGAGAAAACAAAGAAATCTCCTGAAAACCACAAACAACAAAAAGAAAAAGAAGAAATCCAAAAACAAAAAGAACTAGAAAAACAAAAAGAAATCGAGAAACAGAAGGAGATAAAAAAACAAAAAGAATTAGAAAGACAAAAGGAAATCGAGAAACAGAAGGAGATAAAAAAACAAAAAGAATTAGAAAGACAAAAGGAAATCGAGAAACAGAAGGAGATAAAAAAACAAAAAGAATTAGAAAGACAAAAGGAAATCGAGAAACAGAAGGAGATAAAAAAACAAAAAGAATTAGAAAGACAAAAGGAAATCGAGAAACAGAAGGAGATAAAAAAACAAAAAGAATTAGAAAGACAAAAGGAAATCGAGAAACAGAAGGAGATAAAAAAGCAGAAAGAACTAGAGAAACAAAGAGAAATTGAGAAACAGAAAGAGTTAGAAAGACAAAGGGAAATAGAAAAACAAAAGGAGATTGAGAGACAGAAAGAAATAGAAAGACAAAAAGAAATAGAAAAACAGAAAGAGTTAGAAAGGCAAAGAGAAGAAGAGAAGCAAAAGGAATTGGAGAAACAGAAAGAAATAGAAAAACAAAAAGAGTTAGAGAAGCAGAAAGAGATAGAAAGGCAGAAAGAAGAAGAGAAAATGAAAGAGAAACACGAGAAGGAAGAAAACGAGAAAAGAAGTAAAATTGCATCATCAGAAAGTGAACACACAATAACATTCAACTCAAACTCCTCAAACATTCCAACTCCTTCAGCTTCTTTGCACACGTCGAGGTACGATTTCGTTGAAGACAGTCTTTCTTCAGACATGTTGACACAGCCTCCAATAAACTTCGATCCATCCCTCATCGAATCTGTTTCCACAAATGAGATGGAAACAAGCGAAATCACTGCATCAGGAGTTAGAAGATTCGCCAACGAAGATGACATTGATTCCACTGAAGACTCTCCTAAATCTCTTCGAAAGGAACATCGACGCAAATCGATTCCTATCAATCCGAAGATGTACGCGAGCCTCCACAACTCTGAGTCAGAACTTGTCAAATCTTCTCAGTTCACGAAATCTCTTCCAACAGCTTACAGTCCGAAGAGAGAGTACCCACCAATGTCTCTTCAATCCGCCAAGCACGACTCGATGGATTTGCTTATTCCAGGAGCAAACGGACAGAAGAGAAGACACAGGAGAGATAACTCTGAAGGAGGAAGAAGCTGCAAGACAGATGACTTTGATTCGATCGCTGAAAGGGAGATTCCATATTCTCCACCTGATTGGTCATTCCCATTGCAACAATTGTCGAAACCACACACTAAAAAACTTATTGTTGGTTTCCAGAATAAGTTTACATTCGACTTCTTAATAGAGAATTTAAGAAAATAAATGTTTGATATATTTTTTAGTTAAATTTTTATATAATTTTTTTATTTAAATAACTTTGTCATTGGTTCCCAATACATCCCACACATCAAATCAGCTCTCTCCAAGTTTGATCCTAGTGTCACCCATTTTAATATCAACAGAGATATAAAGTTATGAATCAATCAAAGTAGAAAGAAGGAAAAATGTATGTTTTTTTATTGACATGACTTTATTCGAAAAAAATAGTTTACAATGTTAAAAATTTTGGTAACTCGATAGTACTAACAAACTCATTCTGTTCTGTTGCATATTTCTTTCTGATTGCTTGATATCTTGATGCAGCAGTTGCTTGGAGTGAAAGGTGAATCATATTTGCAACAGGAGAAAGTTCTGACTTTGTATAGCAAAGTTGCCTTTCAAGATCTTTCGTCCAAAGTGTGCTATTGTTAGTGATGACCATTGAATAGTAAAGAATAGCAGCAGCAGTTTTTGAAGGACTAATTCCAATGAACTCTGAGTCAAGGAGAATTGATTCATTGACGTAATGAGCGAATCTATTCAAAATCATATCTGAGTTCACAAGAATAAGGAATCTACGGAGGAATTGGGAAGATAGGATTGGTGTTGTAGAGAATTCAAGAGTATTTAATAAATTAATCTCCATTCTTTGCAAACCAATAACTGTAAATGAGTCACCAGCATAGTGAACTAATTTTTCGCACTTTGGTGGATAAATTTCTTCCGTTTTAGCTGCCAAAAGGATGGCTGCTGAGCCAAGTAGTTGGAATTTGCTCTTATCAAGGTCTCTCTCCATCAAGTATCTGTCTATGTAAGCAACAATGTAGAAAAGTGTATCCGTATGCATGTTTTGCTTTTTGTGTACTTCGACAATCCAATCAATGAGAGTTGATCGCATTTTTGGTGTAATATTCGACTGATTCTCAAATAATGATGGTTGAGGAAGGTTTTCATTCTCAACACTTCTCATATAATTGTAGATCTCAAGATCATATTCTGTGCAATCTTGAGCATTCTTTTTATCTCCAATTCTAACATTGGGAAGCTGCACACTTGGGATGCCCTTTTCAACAGCAGCTGGTTTGGATCCCAAATAGCAGGAAACCGGACCTTTAATTTCACCTAATGGAACTCTAGCAAATGTTGGATTAGCATTAGCACTCATTCTGGATTTCATACCAGCATTTATTGATGAACGAGTTGCTCTGGCTGGCTGAATTAAGCCTCGAGCAGATCTCTGCGTCATAATTTAATTTTTTTAAACGTACACCAAACTTTTCTGAAATTCTATTCTAATAAGATATTCATGTCCTTTTGATTAAATTGTATGCATTTTAATCAAAATTATTTGATAGAAATGATTGGAAAATTCAAATATTTTGCTGAAGAGCCAGAATAATATCATTTGAATTCAAATAATATGAGTTTCTTTGAAAAATGCAATTATACACTTCTAATGATCAATTTGAGTGTGAAATCTTAATTCATATTCTTGTTTTCTTGTTTATTAAATAAAATGTTAAATAAAAACTAGTAATCTCCTTGGAGTTCAAATAACAAATATTGAAATCTAGAATGTCAAATTTTATTTGATAGGTTTCCTCATCTTCAATTATCTTCCAAAATATAGGTTTATATCAACTGATCATAGACACTCCAATTTCAACCTAAAGAAACACAAACATTTAATGGTGGAGTAGATAAATAGGATTTCAACGCTATCGACATCTTTCATCTAATTATTCTCATAATAAGAAGTATTTGTATTAGTTATATAATATGAGCGATCAGTTATCAATGCAAAAAAGCCTGACTTTTTTAAACTCAATCATATTATACCGACAAACCTCCTAGTTCATAGATTATTGATGCATTATCTATCAATCTTGCATAAAATCAGTCTATTAACTGCAACCTTACATATAAACAACAAGTTTTACTTAAAATAAAACAAACAATTTAAAAAATTAATTTAAATACTAGCGTCTTCTTTGAGTTCTTAAGGCAATTCTCTGCATATTATCATAATATGGAGTACACAAACACTTATTGGATGACACTGTACTAGAAGAACACTTTACAGCCTTTGTTTTGCCATATTTATCTGACACATACTCATTCCTTACGAAAATATGAGTACCATTGATTCTGTGTAACTCCGTCTCAGTGCTTGGATAGCAGAAATCAGTTATGCCGAAGTAGAAAACATCAGAATCAATATCTTCAAATGAGTTTTCGTAGAGTGCTACGTATTCATACACTACAATCTTGCTTATGTTTGTACAACGAGAGAAAGCATTAGACCTCACTATTGCGTTATCAAATATCTCAACACTTTTTAGATTTGTACAGCCATCGAAAGCTTTGCTGTATACAATACATCCAGCTGGAATTGAAATAACTTCAATTGGACATGATCTAAAAGCAAACGGATACAGAGCAGAAACAGAATTCGGAATATAAATGAATTTCAACTTATTGCATCCAGAAAAACATGATTCACCAATCATAGTTATACCTAATGGAAGGTAGATAGTTTGAAGTCCACCGCAATTCTCAAATGCATTAGCTCCAATTTCTTTGATGGTTTCTGGTAATCTTACTTCTGTGATACAACTTTGATCTTTGAATGCATTATTTGCAATAGAAACAACCTTCTTTCCAAATACTAATTTTATATCAACGATATTAACACAACTATTACTGAATCCAGATACAATATAATCATTTCCAGATGATAAATAATTAAAATCAGTATCAATTAAAGTTATTCTTGCATATCCATCACCTGAATGTCCTTTTGATGTTGTTCCATCTGGCTCGGTGATTTGTTTATTTCCACCAGTTGTAGATGCATCTGTCAAGTAGTATTTCGATGTTAGTTTGCATCCACTTGGATAGTCTTTTGCTGTTGATTCATTGTAAACATAACCGCTACCTCCACTACCTTCACTAGTATAAACAGCGGTTGTGCCTGTTTTAGGCTTTGTTTGAGAGCCACTTGAAGCACCTCCACCGTACCAACCTCCCCCTCCAGCACCTCCATTATATGCAGTATGTGCTCCTTGAAAGAAAGCACCTCCACTTGATGATGAAGTTTGTTTACCTGATTACTTCCACCTCCAGTTAGACCACCTCCAAAACCTCCGTCATCCTCTCTTCCACCACCTCCACCGCCCCCTGCAACAATTACACGTGAATAAATGTCATCTTCGTTGATTCTGATGTCTGTTCCGCCTCCTCCACCATTTCCTGGACTACTTGCTCTTCCCCAAGCGCATCCACCTCCATTGTATCCACCTTCTGCCCAATCATTATTTACACCTTTTCCGACACCTCCAACTCGGACATAGACTGTCATAGTTTCAGTTAAGTTTAAATAACCTACGGAATAACCCCCTTGACCTCCTATAAAAGCGATATTGTTTCCAGGTGTAGATCCACCATGTGCGCCCCAAACTTCTAATTTATAGTATCCAGGATCAAGAGATTGTACCTGGGATCTCCCAGTGTAAGAGAAATCCATAATCGCTTCAAAAACACAAAAAATAACTGGAAAAAACATTCAGAATCAATCACTTATATGTCAAATAATGCCAAAATCAAATCAACCTCTGAAAACAATTTTTTAACTCAGATCTAAAATCAAATCCATATATTATTGAATTTCATAAGTCCAAAATTAATAAATGATATATCCTATTGATAAATCCACAATAATTTTGGATTTACCTAAAGATTTTTCAAATGATTTAAGAATACTTAATATTTCTAGCTTGGGAAATCCTATAAATCATCTAAAATTAGGGCTGTACAAGATTTAAAAAAACATTGCCGGGTTACCGTAGAGGCCTAAAAAAATCGCGCCTCGGCGGCAAGCCGCCTCGGCATTAAGAATGCGCATCTAAATTTTTATATGTCCTTCTTCCTTTTATTTTTCCCTTCCCTTCCTTTTCTTTTTTTTTTCCCCTCCTCTTGCTCTCATTTACCTTTTTTTCCTTTTCTCATCATTTTTCAAAATTTAAAATTTTTATCAAAAATCTTGCCTATAAAAGCAGATTATGGAACCTTTTAATGCCTCTTAATCAATATTATACAGCATAAAGCATATTAAATGAAAGTAATTACGTATAAATTTATTTTATTATCTTATTTATTAATTCTTTAGCATGTATTGTTTAATATTAACTTTTCTGTACATTAAATATGATATCTCCAAAGTATGAATGCCTTGTAACGAAACGAAAACTTAATTTTATGTTGAATATTTGTCACAAACATTAGATTATTAAAATATATGTTGGATATCCCTTAGTATGAGACTTCATGACTCTTGTTGTCTAACGTGAGCTTTGGATTGCAAGCTTGCTACAGCACATAAGTATTCTGTGGTTAAAAAAACCACATGAGCTTTAAAAACTATAAAACCAAAAATAATTGTTATAATTTAAATGAAGAAGTAATTTAAAACGATTTTATTTATGATCAAATTTTATATATTTTTTTGGATCAAATCCATTTTAATAGAATTTATATACTATTCATCTATTAGTAAACACTACCGTATATTATTTTTTAAGCTATCTTATTTTTTGAACTTTTATTCAAATCTTTGGTCGCAAGAAGAATTGCATGATAAATAAAAACATTTAATCAAAGTCAATTTTATTTTTCATATTCAAATGGACTGAGTGTTAACATTTAACATTTTTTGCTAATTGTCGTCAAAATTAGGCGTAAAGCAAAAATTGATATTTCATATGGTTTTGATAGATAAGCATTATATTCCCACTCATTATATTCGTAAATTTTGAGGTTTATCCTTTGCTTTTAAGATCATTGAATTTGATTTTTATATAAAATAGTTATATATTAGAAAATAATATGAGTTTATGTGATATTATTTTTCAGAAGATTTCATTCTATATGCCTATGAAAAGTACTCTCAAAACTAACTTTTTCCTAATTATAATTAAATCTAGAATATTGTATTATGCTTAGTATTATTTCATTTTTCTCATTCAATTTAGAATTTACAAATGTCAAAAAATTGAGAGCTGTCACTTTTGATGAATTTCTGTTTATTACAGCATTGTTATTAATAATGAAAAATAAAGCTTATTTCAATGAAAATTGTTCTGCAAATTTATTTCACTTTTGACCTCACTTTTTCCGTAATTCAATTTTTTACTTTTAATATTTTAGATCTTCATAATATCATTTGAAAAATTAACCATATAAAAAATCAAGTTATCAATTCACTTTTTCCGTAATTCAAAAATCAAAAATATAAATAATATATCTTTTTATCAAATATTATTATTATATTCTATGAAAAATGAGGTCCGGAAATTTTGCGGATTCCCGTAACTCAATTTTACGGAAAAAGTGCAGTAAACTATTCAAAATACGGAAAAATTGGTGTAAACTAATGATTTTACGGTAAAATCACGGAAAGTCCCGGAAGAATATATGTGCCTATATGAAATTATACAAAAATGAATCAAACGCATTTTAAAAGATTGTTCTTGTATTATAAATGCTATTCGCAGATTTATTAGTTGAAGAAAATTACCAAATTTTTGCCGATTTACAAAAAATGATTTACAAAGCATATTTTTATAAGGCTTTAAAAATCTTTAAAATGTGACCGGTGACGGAAATCCATGGTAACCAACCGCGGTTCCCGTTTGGAATGCCATATCTAAAATGTCTAGTTATATCTATGTAAGGTAATGCAACCAACTTATAATTATATTAATTTTAAAATTAATTTGTTTCATATTCAAGCTGATAACGCATCATAACCATCAATAGTTAAACTATTTCCGCCAATTGCATTGCTTTTTTCATGGTGTCATTACCCCCATCCGACTTTAAATCCAATTTCTGATTAAATATCAAAGAAAATCAATCTTAAACAACAGAACTGAATGGAATGCCAAACAGGTGCAAGCGTACACTTAAGAAATATTTTATTCTTGTCATTTAGATATCTAAAATTTTGAAAAAGTACAAAACGCTCAGTTCGCTAACATCGGAAGAAATGTTATTTAGCTAACTATTATATATTCACTGTTTAGAAATGCTCAGTTAATATTTATATATTTTATATCCAAAATGAAACTAAAAATAAAACAAAAAATAAATAAAAAAATAAGAAAAAAAAGTTAAGCTTCGAATTGTAAAATTGCGTTCAACTGCAGATTCTTTGCGAACAGTTGCCATTCAAGAAGAACCTTGTTTAGATCCTCGATTGACTCGCAATTCTCAATTTTTGCGAAACATCCGTCGTAGAACGCGAGAGAATCCTCAGGAATAAACTGGACAGATTCATCATGAAGAGCCTGAAGCAAAGGAGGACAAAGAACCAAAGCAGGCCTCAAAATCAGTGCGACATCGTAGCAAAGAGTTGTGTGGTCATTGAGAAGGAACTGCCAAAGCAATCTCACGACATTTCTGAACTTGATTTCGATTGATTTCAGCACTTCATCGTAAACATGAGACTCAGCATTATCACAGAAGAACTTAATGATGTTTTTGGCAGAAGACATTGCTGATTTCATCAATCCCTCGTATTCCTTTCCTCTGAATACTTGTATAATGAAATCAAACATCATCTGTATGAAACAGGCATCGCAGTTTATGACTCTCTCCATGTGATAGCTGCTCAAACTGTCAACTAATGACAAAAGAATTGAAAAACACTTCAAATTGAAGAAAGACGTCATATCAATCATACTCAACAATCTGAAATACGAAGCCAACAGTTCATCAATTGTTTTGTCCTCGTAAAGATCGAATGCATCGAACATTACGTAATCTGCCTTCATAATCTCACTCATTAGTCTTGTCATTGACTTGAACGGCTTCATTACGTTCTCCATCTCTTTCTGGTCGGCCATGGAGAACTCGCTCAGCATGGAAAAGCCTCTTTTGAGTGCTTGAGCGAGTAATGCGAATAATTGGACACCGTTCGAGGAATGAGGAGGGAAGGAGATCTTGGCTGTGATATCTTTCTTCTTGTCTTTGGCGGAATACTGGTTTTCTTGTGGTTGGATGGTTGAGAAGAGGAATTTGAAGAAATCTGAAAGTAAACTGGGATCATTGATGGAATCAATGACTGTAATGATCTGTTCAAGTTTCTCAGGGAATAACCAGTAGAAGAAAGTGTCGAAATCGTTCTTTTTAGTACATGCTTGGAATGTACCGATGAAATTGTACAAAAGTGCCTTGAAAACTTCGGTTGTCAGCTGGGAAAGGAACATCTGGTAGTTCTGGTCGAGGAATCCTTGGAAATATTCAGTGGCTGGTTGAGATGATAAAGCAATTGTCGTAAGAATCCTGGAAGCGTTGATCGTGGACCTCTTATTCTTGACATTGACCATGAAATCGAAAGGATGATCGACAAATGACTGTAAAAGTATCTCAGCGTTCATTGCGTCCTTAATCTTGTTCTTAATGATGATGGAAATGACGGAATCGAGGGCATTGACGCCTAATCTGATGGTTACTTCATCATCTGGGAAGGAAATAAGAGACATCGTGATTCTTTCGATCAAAATGTTGCAGGCTTGGGCCAAATCGTGGGCCTCGCAATCCGTAATGGCTGCAAATACCTTGTCAAACTTCTTTTGGTCGGCTAAGTTCGTTCTTTTGAGTTGATGGCAGAAAATCATCAAAGATCTCTCGAGATAAGGTAGTTGTGCGTGATAGCAGGCATCTAATGTCTCCTTTGAGTTGATCAGCGTCTTCATGATCGCACAAAATGCTTGGATTTGTGGTTCATCAATTGTTTGCAAAGGTCTCTTGAGAATTGTAGCGAGAAAGCCAACAATTATGGCCATCTGCATGTCGAAGCGACGGAAGGAATCATCTACTTCGCTCGCGGAAAGAAGGGCTTGGTTAAATTGAGCTTGAGTATTAATTAAGTGGTCAATTACACTTTTTGCGAAATCTGAGAGCACATTCGCAGGGCATCTTAAAGGAATAACAGTAATACACTCATCGTACCTGCAATCATCAAAACTTTCCTCTATTTGGTCGGTGTCACTTTTTACGGGAAGTTCAATGATATTGATAATATAAGTTAAGAACATCTCGTTGAATTCGGAGATGTCTGGGACAGCATAACACCAGAGCTTCATGAGATACATCATCATGTAAGGTTGTTTAGTTATTAAACCGTTCTCAATGAACTGTAATGTTCTTTGCTTTAATAACATCAAGAAATTCTTGTATTCCTCCATGTTTTCGGTAAGCTTAGGGAAGGAAAGAATACGAATACGAATCTTATAAAGCAATTTGATAAGGAAGAAAAGTAAATCTTGATTATTCATTACAAAAGCGTCATCAGACAAAAATTGAGTAGCAGCTGTGATTGTGGCTAAGAAGGCATTGTAATGGAGCTCTTCGCTTGTGAACATGGCCCTTTTTACGCAGCCTAATTTGTAAATAATCTTAAACGCTTTTTCTGTAAAGATCGGATTGAATGCCAATGAGAAGATGAACTTGTAATTTTCGGCGCTAGTGATTTCGCTTTGCCAAATTGGCTTCAGATCCAATTCTTCTGACAAAACTTCATCTTTTGTAACTGCATTCTTCGCGATATCAACAAGGTGAACTTCTAAGGCAAGATCCATGAGTCCTAATGCTGTTTGTGTGATTTCGTCGTTGATTGTGATAGATTTTGGATCTTTTGGACCATCTGCGAGATATCTAGTGCAGTAGAGGTTGTTGCGAATAACCATGACTGCAATCATGAATACTTCGTAGGTGAAATGATATTGTAAATCGAGTTGTGTGAAAATTGCTAAATTCGCGTCTTTTGAGAAGATATCTATTAATTGCCTGAAGATGTTAAACTTCAGGTTGATCGCCTGAGGTATATCGCTTTCGAGATTTGTGTTGATTTCGTTGACAACATAGGGTAAACTGTTAAATGAAGATAAAGAAATTTTTATGATCATTGCGTATGCGGCGGTGACTTTGTCGATGGCTAAATTTGTAGATGGAGCGAATTTTGTTTGGATATTTTGAAGGCACGTTCCGTAAAAATTGAAAATATTTTCTTTACAATCAGTGATAAATTGATTTGGCCACTGCGGCGAGAATGCCCTTACCAAATTATATAATGCATTCCCAGCAAAATATTGAGCATTTGGTATTGACCAGCATTGATTTAAAATTTGAAAACATAATGGCAAATATTGGACATCACTGTTGAATGCAACGTATAGAGGATTATCTATAGATTCATATTTGTTAACAAAAGCATCAGAAGCTTGTATAATTTGTTCCTCTGTGATTGTAGCCATTTTTTTTTCTAAGTTTGTTTCAAAATTTTTTCACTTCACAACACATTACTAACTTAAAAATATTGCTTATCATAGCATAAAATACAATTTTGTAACAGAAATTTTCATTGATTTAGATTTTTAAAAATATTCCAATAAAAAATCAAATATATGACATTTTCGTATTAATAATTAGATTTTATATAGAAATCTATGAATAGTCAAATAGAAAATAATGAGTAAATGCAGATTTTTTAAAATATATTTCTTCAATTTTGTTCATTCATCTTGTTCAAAGGCTTTGATAAATTACATTCTACAGAAGATGAAAAAATTAACTTCTCATAGACTGTTCTTTCCTTTTGTTGAATTTTATGAAAATAAATTTAGCAAAGATCATATGGAGACCAATCATAGATTTAACAGTTTGTTAAGTATCAAAGATATTTGCAAGTTTTTCCGAAGTTATTAAAAATTATTTAAAATAAAAATACACTTTATAACATATAAAACAATAAAAATACACATTAAAATGGGATATCCATATCTGGGGGGCCTTCCTTTGGCTGGGCAGCTCTTTTCGGAAGGAGATCAACTTTGTTTGTTGGAGGGAAAGATCCAGGAATCAGTGTCATCAGCATTGAGTTAATTTCAAGAAGAGCCGCGTGTTTTCCGTCAGAATTAAATGAAATTTGCATCCAATTGTTGAAAACTGACGGCTGAATGATATCTTTCTCAAATAAGAATGAGAATATAGTAAGTAACAATCCTTTAGGCTCAAAGCTGTGTCTCGAAATTATTTCAACAATATAATCTAAAACAGCGTTTTGAACTGTTCTACTTTTAGTGATTGTGGCTTGGAATATTGGAAGAGCAGCATTTAGCTTAATATTAACGGAAATTAACTGTTGTTCAGTCATTTCCAAAAATGGTAAGTCGCTGCTCAATGGTTGTGAGTAAATAGCCTCTAGTATGGGGTCAATGACCATTGGAGCTACTCTGGATGATGTAAATAACGATGTACTGCCAATTTGTAAAATAGAAATCGAAGCAGGGGCTGAATTCTGGCCATCGAGGGCAAATCCGGCTGTTATACAATATATGCCTACGTATGGAAGTACACTGATTGTATTTAAGCTGTAAATAAAATTATTCAGTAAATTTCTTGTTCTGAATGCTCTGATTATCCAGAAATCACCGAATATTTCACTTAGAACCCGGAACGTATCTGTTTCTGTTAATCTCGTTTGAATTTTTGCAACAAATAAAGTAATGAAAGATTCTGCGAAATATGAAGGGCAAAACTGGTCTAAAGCATCTCTTATGCATGAATTCGTTCGTTTGGAGCGAGCTACAGTTGCAGCAAGCAAACCAACAAATTTATTAAATTGTGGCATTGTTTTAGGGTCATTTGACTCATCCCATAGGCATATTTCGCCAAACACATCAATAATAACGTTGATTAATGCATTTGTAATGACAACTGGTTTAAATACAGAAGTTGGTGAAAAATCTATTGAATTTACAACAGAAATTGTAAAAGCGTTGGGTGGTTTATCATTTATGATGTCTATGATAGATAAAGCTAATACTCTTTGCAAAAACAGCGTTGGTTGATAAGAACTAACATCTAAAAGTTTTTGGCCGAATAAATAATCAGCAATTTCTTCGTTGTATACACTCTTCGGGATGGGAACACCAGCATCATAGAGTGCTTTGAATTTTGCATCGAAATCATAATCAGATGTAATATATGCGAGAGTACATGAGTTCTTTTTAGGAACATCGATTGTATCGAACTGGGTTAAGTTGATTGAAAGTGATTTATCATCGTCTCTACTTAAATTAAAGTAAGTTGAAGGAGGTCGATCAAAAATTGAAGCTAAAACAGAGTTAATATAATGCGATTGCGAAGATTTATCAACTGAAATATAAAAAGGTTTTGTTTCTTTCGATAATCTAACCTTTAAAGTTGATGTTTCAGATAGTTTTTCATAATCCATTTTTCTTCAAAAATATTTGTCACTTTTATTTTTTTATTACCGAGTGTGGGACAAACTATCCAGTGTCACTTTTTTATCAACCTTATTTTAAAAAATTTTTTAATAAAATAATAATAAAAAATTATTTGAATCTTTTACATTAATTGTTTCTTTTTTAAAAGTACCTTTAAAGTACAATAAACAAGATTTGAATCTATTGATCCTTGTTGCAAACTTGAATATATTGCTTCAAGCATTTTCAAACATTCGACTTTTTTGTTTTCCAATATTTGTTCATGGTCATTAAGGGTTTCGTTTTGCGAAAAAAACGTACAATACGCAATTTCGCTAAAAAAACATTTAGCTAGCAATTTCGACCTTTGACTCCACTCAAGACGTCACTTTTTAAATTTTGCGGTATCATATTTTTGGAAAATCTTTATGAATATTATATAAAAAGTCTCTTTAATATCTATATTTCATATTTTTATCGATTTTTAAAGTTTTTGCGAAAAGTATTCAATTATTTTTGCTATTTGGTCGGGTAAATGTCGGATTTGCGACATTTTCTGATATGATATTCAGATTCTACGTTGATAATAATGCTTATAGAACCCTCTTGCTATTGTGTCAAAATTGCGAAACCGATAGCAAAAATATCTCGCAATATCAAAATTGAGATATTGAGTGAATTATGCATTATAGAGATTAAAAATCTGATTTGTGAAAACATCTCATCAGTTTCTAGCTAATTCAAAAATCTTTACTATCTTATTCGATTAAAATGAAAAGGGAATAGTTTCATTATGCTTTAAATGACAGCCTTATAATATAATCATAGTTTTCGCTCAATATGCAGCATTTTTTTTCGAAATCTATGGTCAATGTCCTAAATACTGATTGCTTTGCATTCATATCTCTTACATTTTCTATACCCACATCACTATTCATTGCTATTCCTATCTTTTTCATTTTTGTTTGTTTCTAGTAGTGTATATGACGGGTTGTGTGACTTTTTTTGAAAACGTAAGAATTCATACGATATTGAACGATTTCGTATCATTATTTTTGACATATGAAGTAAAAAATGTATGATTCTTACGGTTTTTATTCTTACGTTTTAGAATAAATCAAGATTTAAAAGTTTTCAAAAATGTAAGACATTTACACTCAACCCATAAATGATGTAATGATGAAATGATGAAATGATGTAATGATGAAATGAAAAATAAAAGAAGCTATATATAGATGATGTCAGATATTCCGCGATTAATTAAAACAAGTGTTTAAATCATGAATGAAATCAATGGAGTCATAATCAAAGACCTCATAAATGAGAAAAAGAAATTGAAACTAATGATTATTTGAATTTATGAAATCAATTATTTGATTCATTCTTTCTTCAATCTCTTCTATTCTTTTTGTTAAATCATCTATTTTCATTAATGAGGTGATTCTTGATTGAGGAATAGATTTCAAACTAACCACTCCTTTTATTTTTGAAATTTTGAATCCATCAACTTTAAACATTTTATTCAATTTACATGTTGTCAATTCTTCAAATAATTTTTTATTATTAGCATAATAGTCATTAAATTCTTCAACAGATGAAAAAATTTTTGTTTCAGTAATTGGTTTAACAACGTTAATTTTTTGTTGAACATTAACACTTTCATTTATTTCTTCCTCCTCTGTTTCATTTATTTTTAACATCGGTTTCATTTATCATTAAATAAAAATTAGAATATAAGTGATGAAATATATTTTTTAATTAATATTAAATCAGAAATGGCGGCAAGATTCTTTAAAAAATTATGGGATGGAATTAAGAAAGCTGCAGGTTGGGTTTATAAAAAGGTTATTAAAGGCCGCCTCAACAAAGTGACTTCACTTGAAATTCAAATATCGTATTTAAGAGTTCTAATATAAAACACTACTACTACTAATAATAATCACATTAATAAAAATGAGATATAATGAAATTTGTTGAAATCTTTTTATCTTGAGTTTTATAATAAGCATCATAAGAGTAACAGTATAAGATACTTACAAAAATATTTATATTGGCAACAATAAATATATCATATGTGAAAATTTGTTGAAATCTTTTTATCTTGAGTTTTATAATAAGCATCATAAGAGTAACAGTATAAGATACTTACAAAAATATTTATATTGGCAACAATAAATATATCATATGTGAAAATCAATTATCTATTATTTCTTTATCCCCATTAAGATGCATTAATAATAGTCATACTGAATATACATGAATAGTATATTACAAACATCATAGAATTATCGCATTAAATCATAATTTTTTTGCAATCAGAATCTCTTGGATTTGTAAAATTTAAAATAATATAACAAATATATTGTGTATACATTATGTAATGTTATAGTAAAGTTAAAAGTTGTAAAAAATAAAATTGTTTAAATTATTAAATTATTCTTGAAAACCATGAATTTGAGGTAATGGAAACGGTTCCCTCTTTTCTTGAGGCATTCCAGCAATTACATACTTTGGAATTTCTGAAGAATTTTGTGATTCATTTGAAATTATTTCTTCATCTTTTCCATTTCCGTAATCTCCTTTTCCTTTTACAATCAATTTTCTTGCCTTTCGTCTTTCTGAGCGCGCAGATCGATATTCTTCTGTCTTTTCTCGTTCCGAGCGCAACTTTTTTTCTTTGTGCTCTTCAATAAGAGAATCCCGAAGGATAGGATGAATTGGCTTAATTCCTGATAAATTACGTAGTTCAAGTAATCCTTGATATCCTTCATTGTGGTAAATTGTAGCAATATCTGTTCTGCCTTCATATGAACTGAGATAATTTGTATGTTTTGGATTAAAACGGCATGATCGAGCATTATATGACTCATTTATATGAGTTGCATAATCCGGATTAACAATTTGAAAAACTGATCCGGAATCTTTTAAAAATTCGAGTAGATGATTTCTTGCATTTTCGTTTTCAAGTCCAGCTGTCCATATAAAATGTTCTTTTTCTTCATCTTTTGTGGAATGTAAACAATATTCTGGTGAATGATTTCCAATTAGATGATCTACGGCGTGGAGCCAATAAAATAGCTTCTGTTCTTTGGAAATATGCTTATCCAATAAAGTATTAAAGAATATTTTGAGTCTGTTTTTGATACCATGAAAAATTTTTGAGTCGACGATAGGCATGTCACTTTTTGCATACTCATTAGAAGTAAGACGTTTCCAGCACAATTCGAATTTCTTTTTGCAATGGAAGCCATCTTGATATTCAACAGCATCAGGAAAATGCTTATGAACAATATTACGGGATTTATTATCCCTATCATGGCAAAAAAAGTCAATAATACCTTTTCCCACCGTATCTTCCAAAATTTGAAGAGCCTGATCAGCGGCAACAGATTCCATTTGGCATGAGGCACCAGTATAATTTCCAGCTTTACCTTTACGAGATCTAACGATTACGAATTTTGCCACAATGTCACCTTTAGGACCCATTGCTACAAACTCACACTCGTCTGCATTTCTAACATGCGAGAAATGAGCATCGATGGTGATAACAGTTCCAGGCTCAAGTTGCAATGCATGATTTTTTACACTTTTTTCAGCTAATTCCTTCGCTTTCTCGAGAATCACCTTTTGAATCCTGTAAAAGTATTGTGAAGATGGTACATCTATACCAGCCTCTCTTAATAAGTTACTTGCTTCTTGATATGCTTTACCGCAAATCAAAGTGGCAAATGTAAATGATTTGCCATCTAATTTAATTAGATCACCGAATCCTTCATATTGGACGCGAATAATCTCAGAATTTGTGGCGTCATGTACCTCCTGTGATGTCATTTGTGAAAAAACCAGAATTTTCGAAAAAGTGACACCAACTATTAAAGTTATTTTATTACTAGATTTATTTACAAATTATAAGATAATATCATTAACAAAATATATTTTTAATATAAATAAAAAACTTTTTTATACAAAAAATTACAATCAATCGATAAATATTATAAAACATTTATTCCAAAAAGATTAAGTAATAGGTGGGATCCTGCATATAATATAATTTTATGTCATAAAGCTTACAAATTTTAGATGGACCACAGTGAGAATGTGAGTGGTTAATTTAAAGGTGGTCTGATAAAGATATCGAAGCTTACTCAACACAGTATGAAGCAGTTTCTAATACACAATCTTACTAGTGGTGTTTCGGTCGCCAGCGCTCTCATAGGGGTGCTGATTTCAAAAACCACTACTTCAAATTATTCAACAATACTCAATGCAGCATGAAGCAGCTACTACTGCTGTATCTTACTGGTAGCGTTTTGGTCGTTGGCTCTTGCACAGTCTCTCAGATTTTCAAAAATTTTTTTCAACACTATCTTGTTTCGCTCTCAGAAAGCTATCCTACAAAGACATCGAAGCTTACTCAACACAGCATGAAGCAGTTTCTAATACACAATCTTACTAGTGGTGTTTCGGTCGCCAGCGCTCTCATAGGGGTGCTGATTTCAAAAACCACTACTTCAAATTATTCAACAATACTCAATGCAGCATGAAGCAGCTACTACTGCTGTATCTTACTGGTAGCGTTTTGGTCGTTGGCTCTTGCACAGTCTCTCAGATTTTCAAAAATTTTTTTCAACACTATCTTGTTTCGCTCTCAGAAAGCTATCCTACAAAGACATCGAAGCTTACTCAACACAGCATGAAGCAGTTTCTAATACACAATCTTACTAGTGGTGTTTCGGTCGCCAGCGCTCTCATAGGGGTGCTGATTTCAAAAACCACTACTTCAAATTATTCAACAATACTCAACACAGCATGAAGCAGTTTCCAATTCAACAATACTCAACACAGCATGAAGCAGTTTCTAATAAATATATACATATAAATATATACATATTAAATATATACATATATAAATATATACATATATAAATATATACATATATAAATATATACATATATAAATATATACATATATAAATATATACATATTAAATATATACATAAATATACATATATATATAAATATATAAATAACAAAATATAATCAAAAAATAGTGTTTGGAAATTTAAGGTTAAGTGTCACTTTTTCTAGTGTCACTTTTTCGTAAATTCTACCACACTCATTAGATCACCGAATCCTTCATATTGGACGCGAATAATCTCAGAATTTGTGGCGTCATGTACCTCCTGTGATGTCATTTGTCAGTTTTTTGTTTCTTCACTTCTGAATACGACACCTTGAATTATGGGTTTATTTCTAATAATTTACAATTTACTAACAGTATTCTTTTTGGGGATACTGACATTCAACGTAAAAACGAGAATGTTTCGAAATAATAAAATTTAATATAATATTAAGTCATTTTTAAATATTTCTGTCTCAACCTGAATGTTTATTCCCTAAAAAGAGATTGCCATAAGTCTATGGAAATTGACCATAAATAACTTAGAGCTATGGAATAAATTGATTTTAATGTATTTTTTTCTCGAAAATATCTTTTTTAGAGTGAAAATATAAATGTTGGAATTTTCCTTACCATATTATTGTAATACAATATAGACAGATGCTTTATTCTACAACAAAAAGCCAGAATCGATTTTTTGTCGAAATCTTAAATATAATGAAACAATAAAATCTTAATTATATCCATTATGATTTGAATATTTAGAAGTATAACAAATGATAAAAATATTCATATGAAAATCAATGATGTATTCTATGTTTTTTAACTAGAAATGATATCAGTGAAGTCATGTGTCAGATTTTTGTTGACTCGACCTTTAAACCTGTTGCAAACTTTTTGGCACCAGTAGCGAAAACGGCAGGAACTATCATAGGTGGGGTATTAGGTACTAAAGCAGGTAATCCGGCGATGGGAGCACAAGCGGGTAACGCAATTGGTGGAATTGCTGAAGGAATACTTAATAAAATAGGAGGTAAATAGTGGAAAAATAAATAAATATTATTTTTATCTTAGTATCGGTTGTAGTCTTTGATAAACTTTTTCTCCTTTATTTAAAATTTCTCTTATTGGGGCAGCTTTTGGTGTTATTGATTCAGCTACGTCACTAATTGCTTCTTTATTCTTAAATATCCAATTTGCTCCCTTCTTCAATGTTTCCCAAACTTTACTCGCTCCTCTTTTTACTTTATCCCACAGTTTCTTAAATATACCTGCAGCCATAGTTGATTATTTCATTAAAATTAAAAATTCATTTACATCTTTTAATTTTGATTTTTTATTTATTAATAAATGACGACTAACTATTTAGTGCCAAACACCAAACCAATTAATGGAAATGTGTTTCATTCATTCGAAAAGATAAATGAAATATTCGCAAAGAATGACGGTAGAAGATATTATAGAGAACTTGAAAGTTCATGCTATGACTCTGATACTCCATATTTTGATGATAAACAAACTCATTTAAGAATTACAAATCCAGCTCATGATGTGAACCAATTAGGTGACACATATATTAAACGTAAAGTTAAAGCAACTCTAGTTTCAAATAAAGCTTTCACATGTGATGCCGCTTTTAAATGCATGCGTTTATTCGTTGGTTACAAATCATCAAATCAAAGCTTTAAACAATTAGAAGTAGAAACCGAAAGAGGTGATGCGGTTATCTTCAAATGGATTGCGCCCGTGAATCTTTCGCATTTGCAACATATAAACCAAAATCAGAAAGGAAAGTTAAAAAGTTTGTTCATTCGTTATATAATAATGTTCAAAAATATGATAACTCAGTATGTGGTAAATATATTGACCCTTCAGAAGTTTTTAAGAAAGCAAATGAAGAAGTTGATGTCACTTTTGATATGATTATTCCGGTAAATGATTTGTTAGCATTTCAGGCGTTCGATGATTATCCTAAATCATTTGGTGATATCATTCTTAAATATTATGTTTTCAGGGATACTTTAGTATTTTGTCAGGTTGACCCGTTAAGAGTTGCTGATTTACAAAATTACGTTTATGAAAAGATAACTGATGAAAATTATGAAAAGATTATGAATCATGTTTATAAATATGATCGCAAATTCCAACAAATCGGACTTCCTGCAAATTAATTACAACTTAGCCGCTACATCTGCTGACGCAACAGTTGATGACGTTATTATTTCATGCACAAAGATGGAAGTTTTAGAGGATAAATGTATTACACCAGGATATGGTTTAATTGAAGAATCAGTTAAAGCAATACCACGTTTATTCAGTAAGGAAGATCCATTCATGATTCCAGCTCAACATATTGACGTTCGTTCACTAAATGGAGGTTGCATCACTCCTGAAGGTATTAGCTCGGATTTCTCATATGCCCTTCATAATGTTACAGATGTTGTGTTAACATTTCCGAAAAATGCAATGCAAAGAACAGTTTTAGAAAATCCAATGCTTCGAGGTCTTCAGGTCACTATAGATTCAAGAAACTTCCCCGATCAAGCGATGACCACAGTGGGTGACATATTCTTTACACGTATGCTTCAAGCTTCTGATTTAGATGGAGTGAATGAATGCACGGAAGAATACGAGGACTCATTAACTAGACCACTGAATGATGATAATGGCACGCCATTAGCTAGAACATGGAAAGACCAAACCTCATTCTTATGCACTATTCCAGTTCAACGTGATGGAGCGGGTATATTCTTTGATGGATTAGAAACTTTTAACTCACAAGTTACAGTACAAGTGAAAGCTTATCCAATCATTCAGGGTGAAAATGACACTTACTGTTCAAAGGTGACAAATCCTCCTCAGGTTTGGTTTACTAGGACTACATATTGGACATGGACACCGGACGAAGGTTTGAAATATCATCCAACAGGTACACCACCACAGTATAGAAGTTCATATGATGAAATATTGATGAATAGAAATGTTTAAAATTATAAATTTATTTTTGATTAAATGGATTTAAATTCATCCACCCCTTATGAAGAATTAGCAGGAGTATATAATACATACGTAGATGATATGATTAATGAAGCATTGAGTGATAATAAAATGCTCTATCTAAGGAAAAATTAATGAAAATTCCATATTCTGAATGTTACTTAAATTCAATCACTGCAGCAATTGGTAAACAAAATAAAGGTAAAACATTAACGATATTAAAACAAATTATCATTATTGCTAACACTTCCCCCATTCACATGTGTTAATTTATATCAACCGTTCAGGTTCACCTTCAGATGATACATTTGAATCTTTAAAGCATTTAATCAAAATTCCAATTATTTATTTATCACAAGAAGAAGCAGAAGATTATTTAAAAAACTTTTTAATGTATAAAGAATTATATAATACAATCAAGAAGCAAGGATTAGAGGATAAAATTATTGATAAACAACGGGATGAATTATTTGAAACACTTTCCATTTCAAATTTTGATAAAGAATTTTTGCATTCACTCATTTTTCTAGATGATGCAGTGAAATCAAAACTAATAACAAATGAGAAATCATATTTTAATCAGTTATTAACTCAATGTCGACACATTCAGTGTTCATTTTTTATGGCTGTTCAATATTTCAAAGCATTAAGCACAAACATTAAATCAAATCTATCAACACTTTTCATTTTCAGTGGGTTTAGTCGTCAACAGTTGAACGTTATGCTTTATCAAGTGAATTTACCAATGAGCATTAATGAACTTTACACACAATATCAGCAATTAGGTGAACATGGAAAAATAATAGTTGATTTAAATAAAGGGGGTGTTAAATTTGATTAACTTTTTATAATTAATTTTTATTTTTTATTTATAATTAAACATGACAGAAATAGCAAATCTTTTACAGGTTCCATTAAAACAAGGGACAAACAAAAGGGGTGCATATAATAGAACTATGAAAGTTCCCGATGGAATGAAAGAATTAGTCCATATTGTTGCTGGTCTTCAAAAAGATGTTAAACAAATGAGAAATGTTTTAACATTACCAGAAGCTCAAGCATATGCCAAACGTCATGGTCCAAATTGGGAAGCACACGAAGCAGACATTACGGGTCCAAATGGAAAACCTGATGGTATAAATGAAGTTTTCGTTACTGATGGACAAGGTAATATTAAAGTCATAAATGGTTATAAATTAACTGTATCTGATTATCCTAAACGTAAAGCATATAATGAACATTATCCTATGCAATTTGATGAAAATGGAAAAGCTGTTAAACAATACATTGGAGAAGGTGAAAATGGTCCAATTAATTCATACCGTCATAATCCATATTCTTATTTCAATGAGGAATTAAATGCTATTGAAGAGGGACCGGATGGATTACCACGATATTCTAACCAGTTTGATGGTCAATATGCAAATATTAGACCTGAAATTTCAGCTAAGAAATTCTTTAAAGTTGCTTTATTTGATCCAGTTTTCGCAAATGTTAAAGATGAACTTAAACAACAATTCCAACCAATTATAGTAGCAAGAATTGCATCAGGTGCTTTATCTCAAGCATTCAAAGATTTAATTAAGAAACCATTATATCAGCAACGAGGTTTAACTTATGATTTAGTTAAGGAATCAGATAAAAGAAAATTTGAGAAATCAGTTGATTATAAGAATGCAATTAATGAATATATTCGGTCTATTAATTTCGATGAAACAGCTAAAAATCAACTTCATGAACAAATACAGGGATAATAGATTCAAAAGTTCCAGTAAAATAAAAGTTTAAATATATTTTTTTATTCGATTATAAATGAGAAGACGTTTTACTAGTCAAAAGAACACTAACGCAAAAGCAGAGATTACGGTTGGTTATAACGTAAATGATGATAAATCACGAATTATTCAAAATGTTAAAGTTAATGTTAGCCCTGAATTAACAAGGTCAGCAACTCAACCAAATTTATTAACTCGTGACTTACCGAAGAATGAGGAGAATGAAGAAAACCATGAGAATGGAGACCAATCATTTTATCTGAACCTGGTAAAGAACCCGTTGAAATTCCCACTTATCCAACATACCCAGCACCTCTTTCATCAAACATCGAGAACCCATATAAAATAGACATTAATTTTGAATTAATGAAAATTTACCGTGATATAATAATTAATAATTATGATTCAATAATAAATTTAATTGACCAATCCGGTTTAATTATTTTACCTTATGAATCATTAATTCACATTATCGCCATTCTTTGTGATGTTCAAGATTCAGACGTTAAAATTCAATTTTTCATAGATGATGAGGTTTCATGCTGCGGAACAGTTGCAAAAATAAATCCTATAAAGGATATTAGCACAATTAAGATATCAAAGAACGGAACAACAACTGAACTTCATTTAACATATAATGATATTTATAATAAAATAGTTGATGAATATAAAATATCACTTGAAAAATTCTTTGTTAAGGCTATTTAATATTCAAGCATTAACATTAACGAATAATAATCCTTTGAATCATAATCAATAATAATTGACCTTTCACCAGTTTCTATCGTTTGTTTTATTTCTTTTTGTTCCCCACTATCTGGATCAGTCATTGTAATTGTTTTTGTTATAGTATCAGCTTTATCTTTAACTTCAATCTTTTTTCCATCAGGATATTTAAACCAAAATTCCAAAAATTCGATATTGTCAATCTGTTCATATTTTAATCTATCAATTGCATTTTTAATACCATCTGAAAATCTTATGAAATGGTCATTATATGGGTTTGATTGAACTAAATTTGAATGAAGTGAAATATAACCCGATGATGAATATGACATCGACTCATATTTTCTGAAAACACTAAAATTTATAACATGAATGAATTTTTTATTCGTTGAATTTATGAATTCTTGAGGTAATCTTATCCTAGTTTTATTTATCACTGGAAAATAACGCTTTACCATATTTTTAATCGTAATAAAAAATGTCAATTATCAATATTATTTCGAATAATAGTTGTGAATTAAATTTAACAGTTAGCGGAATTAATAATGTTACTCTCGTTTCTGTGAGTGGTAAATTTAATCCCATTCTTTTAGACCCTTCAGATTATATATCATTTATTAAAGATGACCTTGAAAAAACGTATGATATGTATATAAATAATGTGATCACGAAATGGGATATTAACATGATTTTAAGTTATTTAAATGAATCATTTATCGTATGGTATGAAGAAAATTTTAAATCAAAACCTGAAAAACTTTTTGAACTTGATGAAATAAATAACCTTATTAAATTCCCGCTGAAAATTAAATTTTGTACTCCTCATTTTCGTTCATTGTTGGGGATATTAAATTTTGAAAAAGATGTTGGGGATGTTTTGTATTCTGACACTGGTTCCAATTTCATTTTAATCAAATGTGATAAAGTTAATACCCCAATGAGATTTTCACATCAAACATTAGACCCTAACTCTTACCCATCAATACAAAACATTTTATCCATCAACTTAAACACATTTTCTTTATCATATCCGTTTCAATTATCCGGGAATTCATTTATTCTTCATTCAAAAGATTTATCAAATATTAAATTTAGAATAACTGACCTATTTGATTGTGATTTAGAATTTATGAATGAAATATTATGGCAATTTCAAATAGAAAAAATAGCTGATGAGATAACGGATTAAAGATTTATTTTTAAATCATAATAAATGATTAAACAACAGCAACCACATCAACTTAAGGCACAAACCATTACATATGCCATATATGCATATAATTCAAAGACGGCAGAACAAACACAAAGGTTGAAATATGGAGATTTGGAGATAGTATTGAAAAATGACCATTTCGAATTCGTTTGCAAAGGTGGTGCAGTGATATCAAATATAAAAGAAATTTTATTTATGAATTCAAAAATTAAAGGGATAACGGATGATATAACATCAATTCCACCAGAAGAACAAAGATATTACGCATTAAATGCATTTCCTAAAGTTTTGAAGATTGGAAGATTTAATTTAAATGAGGAATTCATAAAAGGTTTCCTAAATGACATAATGAAGAAAGCGGATAAGGAATATGTGGCTAGTGAGTTAATGAAGAAGCAGATAAGGAATATGTGGATGAAAAAGATAATGAAATTAAAGAAAGGGTTGAATGGTATCATGAATGGACATCGAAGATTTTTAAAACTAAAGCTGATACAGGATGGGTTTCAGGATGTTTAGACCTTAAAGCGGATAAAACTTATGTTAATGATGAGTTAGAGAAGAAAGCGGATAAGGAATATGTGGCTAGTGAGTTAATGAAGAAGTCAATAAGGAATATGTGGATGAAAAAGATAATGAAATTAAAGAAAGGGTTGAATGGTATCATGAATGGACATCGAAGATTTTTAAAACTAAAGCTGATACAGGATGGGTTTCAGGATGTTTAGACCTTAAAGCGGATAAAACTTATGTTAATGATGAGTTAGAGAAGAAAGCGGATAAGGAATATGTGGCTAGTGAGTTAATGAAGAAGTCAGATAAGGAATATGTGGATGAAAAAGATAATGAAATTAAAGAAAGGGTTGAATGGTATCATGAATGGACATCGAAGATTTTTAAAACTAAAGCTGATACAGGATGGGTTTCAGGATGTTTAGACCTTAAAGCGGATAAAACTTATGTTAATGATGAGTTAGAGAAGAAAGCGGATAAGGAATATGTGGCTAGTGAGTTAATGAAGAAGTCAGATAAGGAATATGTGGATGAAAAAGATAATGAAATTAAAGAAAGGGTTGAATGGTATCATGAATGGACATCGAAGATTTTTAAAACTAAAGCTGATACAGGATGGGTTTCAGGATGTTTAGACCTTAAAGCGGATAAAACTTATGTTAATGATGAGTTAGAGAAAAGCGGATAAGGAATATGTTAACGAAATATACCAAAGTTTGATAGGAACAACAAAAAATATTGAAACTATTGCTGGTGACTTTTCTGTCAATGAAGAAAATAAATATTTTAGATGGCAGTTTGTACACTCCTTAAAAAATGGTACACGGTGTAAACTCATTCCGAAAAATAACAATGAAATGTATGTAAGTTATAAAAAGAATGATGGCACACAAGTTAAAGTTCCATTAGACAACAACTGTTACTTAAACTTATATGGAGACGAACAAAAGAAATATTTAAGAGTTTATGAAATGACAGATATGACATTGTCTAACCTAGCTCCAGCACCATATTATTATGACTATGGAGATGATGTCAGAACACCACATGTAGATGAACAAAAGTTAACATTATATTTAGATTATTATAGATATAAAAGATATAATGCAATAGAAAAAACGAGAATAGTATATTATTATACAGATGACAGAAATAAATATTATAGTCAAAATTTTACCTACCCCGAAAACATAAGATTATATTATAAAAAATATTCTAACACAAACCAAAAGAAACCTGAAATAGTTGCACTATATTTTAAGTTCAAAAGAGACAATCCTATAATATCTCATATGTTTGATTTAATGAACCCAGTAGGTTCTATTTATACATCTACGGATGCAAGAGGTCCTCAAGCAATGTTTGGTGTTGGTGCATGGGAACAAATAGTCGACAGGTTTTTGTATTGTGCAAACTCATCAAAGGAAACAGGTGGAAGTAAAACGATTTCAGGTGAAAATTTACCTGCACATAGTCACTACATAGATTTAAGTACATCTCAAGCAGGTTTGCATAGTCATAGATTTTGGGATTGGTCAGGAATGACAAAAGGTAAAGGATATGATGTTAAAGAGGACGTTAAGTTTGCTATAAATTGTTACTGGAATAACACTGATGTAGGAGGAATCCATACACATCGCGTTACAGGATATACACAAACAACGGGACAAAGTAAAGATTACATGCCACCATTTATGACAGTTTACGCATGGTATAGAGTTCAATGAACGCTCAATGTTTGTGAAACAAACTTTAGGAGCTCCAAAAGAGTGAACGGTATAATTTAAATTTTTATTTTAGTATAAATGAAGATTCTACCATATGGTGTTATTGGAAGAGATAAAGATGGAAACCCAATATTTGATCCAAAGTTAAAATTAAAGTTACTGACAAGACAACAACTTGAAAAGTTACTGAAACCAAAACAGGGGGAGAAAATGAGAAAGAAAAAAATTTAAATTATGTAATTTTATTTTTATCATAAATGACAAAATTAATTAAGCCAACTATTTCTAAATTAATGATACCAATGAAATCATTTCGTGGAGTACTTATCCCAGGTTCTTCACAATTAGCTGGGGTAGGTGTTGTGACTCAAGGTGGAACATTAGTGAATCCATTCAAATTATTAACTAAAGATGAAGTTAATAAAATGATGATAAAATAACTGATACCAAAATTTGATTTCAGTGCTACCATGTTACCGGGTGCTACCAGGTAATTTAATTTCTTTTAAAAATAGTGACAACATGACATTTTGACAACAGTTCAGGAGGAAGGTAAAAATGAATTATTTTTGAAGAACTGAAGGTGCTACCAGGTAATTTTGACATTTTGACAACAGTTCAGGAGGAAGGTAAAAATGAATTATTTTTGAAGAACTGAAGGTGCTACCATGTTACCGGGTGCTACCAGGTAATTTAATTTCTTTTAAAAATAGTGACAACATGACATTTTGACAACAGTTCAGGAGGAAGGTAAAAATGAATTATTTTTGAAGAACTGAAGGTGCTACCAGGTAATTTTGACATTTTGACAACAGTCATGGAAATAAATGTTATTGTTAATGTTTTCACTAATGATTTTAGGTTATTCAATAATTATTTATTTTTGAAGAACTGAAGGTGCTACCAGGTAATTTTGACATTTTGACAACAGTTCAGGAGGAAGGTAAAAATGAATTATTTTTGAAGAACTGAAGGTGCTACCATGTTACCGGGTGCTACCAGGTAATTTAATTTCTTTTAAAAATGGTGACAACATGACATTTTGACAACAGTCATGGAAATATGATGCAGTCCAAAAATAAAGTTAGTTTTAAAATTATTTTTATTTTTTTATTCCTATATAAATGACGGCAACAAACAACAACAGCAACTATATCGTTTCTGATGAAAAAGTTATTGATTCATTAGTTGAGGAATTAGTTACGGCAGAAACTAAAACCCTCAACGAAAGAATTGGTGAAAACATGATTGATTTACATAACTACCTCAAACATGATGGAGGAAGAGGAAGGAAAACCGGTATGGCTTTATTAGTAAATAAAATATCAAATTTAACAATTATAGATGTTGATATCAATAAATCATACGATGATGAACTTAAAGAAACAGTTAGAAAAGATATTTTATCAAAACTTTCGGATAAAGATGTTATCGTTAAAACCGCTTCTGGAGGTCTTCACATTTATTGCAACACTAATTTCTTCTATTCAACCTCGAACAGAATGATTAAATGTTATTCCTGCAATGATTATGATATTGATATAATGACTTCAATGGATGATTCAAAGCGTTCTTTAGTGGTTATGGCTGATTCAAGAGTTCGCAAGAATGCAACAGAACCAATCAATACATACTCATTCATTCGTGGAAGTTATGATTCAACATTATCTAGAACAGTGAATGATATATTAAATGATTTGAATATTAAGGTAAGAGTTGAACAAAAGAACGAAGAAATAAAGACTATCATGAATGAAAACAAAGATGTAAACATTGACGATAAACTAGCTCAAAGCATAGTTGATGGTATCTGTGATTTTGAAGTACATAATGACGGCGGAAACATGAATTTAGAAAAAGAAGTTACATTATTCACACTGTTTCAAGCAATTAATTCATTACCTAATCATTTAATTAATGAAGCATACGATAACGTTTATAACTTCTGCAGTTTAACAGAAAATGCAAAAAGTAATTTTGAAAAAGCACGTGATAGATATGCACATTTAATGACTTCTCCATTTGTTTTGGTGAAGATTCTAAAACTATATCAAAAGGAATATTATGATGAATATGTTTTACCTTTATTACGTAAGCCAAAAATAACATTTGATATAAAACTTGATGACTCGTTTTTGATAACAGATATTAGACGCAAGGCTGAAAATCATCAGTATAAAAACAGTTCTGAAGTAATTGAGGATTTATCACGTGTAATCCGTTTTGTAGATTGTGGAAATAAATATTTCATTCAAAAGGACTATAATATCCACGACAAAATGAATCAAATATCATTCGTTCTTCAATCAAACATGAAAGAGTCACTTAAAATGATTAAATTATTTAATGAAGAAGGTAAAACAATAACAGCATGGGATGTACTACTAAATCAATTGTCTTCATTAACTGTTAAGGGTGTTTGCTTTAAATCTGATTCCCCCGATGTTTTCTCAACGTTTCAAGGTTATAAATACAACATTCTCGAAAAGCCTGATTACTCAAAAATTGAGATGTTTATGAATTTCATTAAAGAAGCCATTTGTGATAATAACGATGAAGTGTATAAATACCTTCTCGGCTGGATTGCATCAATGATTCAACATCCTGGAATCAAGAATGAAACAGCAATTATTTTGAAAGGACTTCAGGGAACAGGTAAAAACAGATTCACTGACATTATTTCTGAACTTCTCGCTGGTTATTCATGCAAAAACATTACTGAAATAAGTGAGCTAACGGGTAATTTCAACTCAGTAGTTGAGAATAAAATGTTTCTTGTACTTAATGAACTCAAGAATGTTGGTGAAGATAGACTCGCAAACTTCAACGCTTTGAAATCAATTATAACGGATAATGAGATTAGAATTAATGAAAAGAATCAACCCAGAAGAACCGCTCAAAACGTTGCAAACTTCATTTTCGTAACTAACAACGTTTACCCTGTCAAAATTGAAGTTGGAGACAGAAGATATGTAGTTTTAAGAGTTAATGGTAAATTTAAGGGTCAATTTGATTACTTCAAGAATTTGATGGATTCATGCACAAAGGAATTTTATGATAATTTGCTGACGTATTTTATCAATTACGACCTTTCATCATTTAATGTACGAATCATACCAATGACTGAAGCCAAACAAGATTTAATTGAATTATCAGCAAATCCTTTAGATGCATGGATAAATACACATTATGATGAATTGTGTGCAGGTATGATGTGTGAAAATGCTTTATTCTGCAAACCATCAGACATGAAAGACAAGAATTTTCAAATGAGTATTAAGGATAAATGTGATAGGAAACATAGAAGAATAGATGGTAAACAAACATGGTGTTATGTTTTGAAAGAAGAAATGAAAGGATTATATAAACAGGTTGAACCAAACGATAATGAGGATTCATTTACTGATGATGAAATACCTGTAAATGAGGCAGTATAAAGTATGATTTGAATTCATTTTTACCTTCCTCATTAATCTCTTCATGTTGTCAAAATGTCATGTTGTCACCATTTTTAAAAGAAATTAAATTACCTGGTAGCACCTTCAGTTCTTCAAAAATAATTCATTTTTACCTTCCTCCTGAACTGTTGTCAAAATGTCAAAATTACCTGGTAGCACCTTCAGTTCTTCAAAAATAATTCATTTTTACCTTCCTCCTGAACTGTTGTCAAAATGTCATGTTGTCACCATTTTTAAAAGAAATTAAATTACCTGGTAGCACCCGGTAACATGGTAGCACCTTCAGTTCTTCAAAAATAATTCATTTTTACCTTCCTCCTGAACTGTTGTCAAAATGTCAAAATTACCTGGTAGCACCCGGTAACATGGTAGCACTGAAAAAATTAAATTTGGATTAAGTTTAAAAATTCATCTTTATTAAATTCATCTCTTCCAACCAATTTATTTATTCTATTAAATTCTTTTATTTTTGCTTCACTCAGTTTAAAGATTGAACGATAAGTTTCTAATTTTTCGATTATTTCTTTGTCGTTTTCAACCTCACCACATTGCGGTTTCTTTTTATAATAGCATATTTTTGATTTAATTTTGTTTAGTTTCTTTTTATATTCATCGTCAGGACTCTTGGCTGCTTCGTTGTCACCCATTTCTTACGAAATAAAATAATTAAATATTATTTAAATATAATGGAGTAATAAAATAAATCGGAATTTCTATTAATTTATTGTTAACCTCTACTAATGCATTACCGTTAATATATCTAACAAATTCAGCTATTGTGTCAAATCTTCGTCTTCTTTTTGTCATTGATTTATCTTTTTCCATAATCGAGATGAATCAAAACTTTATCCCCTTGTTTAAAATTCATGAGCCCTGAATTAATTTGTTCACGTTTAACATCATTTAACCTTTCCATTTGCTTTCTAATATATTCCCATTCTTTTGAAATATCATTTTTCATTTCCACCGGTTTCATGTTTATAGTTCTATGCCATGTATTATTGTAATAATATACTAACTGCTGTATGATGGAGTCATGATTTCCATCCCAGTATATCTGACCGTTAACCCCTAACGCATCTCTAAGAGTTCTCATTACCGCATCAACTATTTTATTATGAAACGTATATGAAGAGGATGAAAAGTAAAAATTAATTTGTGGAAAATAATGAGCCATAGCTGCCTGAAATCCTTTATCACCATCACCCCTTATATTATCTACTCTTTCATGATCTAGTAAGTATTGAATAGCTCTCCTTGTTTCCTGTTCTGTTTTCCCTTTCACTGGAATGCAATATAAATATCTAGTGTTAATGTTAATGGCAAATAAATAAGTAACGTTTCCTTTTGAATATTCTAAATGATCGATTTCGTATGAATATGGATATGGTGCAAATGAGGGGCGACTAAATTTTTCCTTTAACGGTTGAATTTTTGGGTCAATTGGTTTATTTAATATCTTGAAATCCTTTTTAAAATCTTTTTGCTTCTTTAATGTTTGAAATGGATATAATAAAGTGAATGATGAAGGATTAACTGAAG